TTATCCTCTGCAGTCGTGTTTCTACTTGCCGAGAGCTTTTCCCTCGTATGGCTTCATTCGTTCCTGCTGGAAAAGCTGTTACTGCAAATCCCCTTTCCAAGTGAGGAAACTGAGGCTTAAAGAGGGAGGGTGGTTCAGGCTGGCTCCCACGGTTAACAAGAATGAAGCAGAAATCTGAACGCAGGTCCTGGGACCCCCAATTCTTGGATGTCTCCCCCTCCACCAGAGGATGCAGGAAAATGCCCCAAAGTTAAATTCGTGTGTGTGCAAATGTGCGTCACTGTGTGTGACTGTGTGAGAATGTGTGTGTGCATGTGGTTGAGTCTGTGTAATGCATGTGAGCATGTGTGTCTGTGTGTGCTTGTGTCTGTGTATGTGTGTGATTCTGTTCATGTGAGCATGTGTGTAAGTGAGTGTGTGTGCACATGTGGGTGAGTGTGTGTGCATGTCTGTAAGTCTATGTGTGCACGTGAGCATGTGTGTGCACATGTGGGTGAGTTTGTGTGCACGTCTGTGAGTCTGTGTATGAACGTGAGCGTGCGTGTGTGAGCCTGTGTGAGAATGTGTGTGTGCATGTGTGCATGTGTGTATGTGTGAGTCTGTGTGCACATGTTGGTGAATCTGTGTGTGCACATGAGCATGTGTGTGTGTGCATCTGTGTGAGCATATGAGCGTGTGTGGGGGGGGTCTGTGTGTGCATGTGAGTATATGTGTGCACACAAGTGGGTGAGTCTATATGAGCATGCTGATACACACACATGCATCTCAGCATTCATCATGGCACCCTCCCTGTCACACAGGCGTGACTCTGATGGGTAACGATTAGGATGGTGACATCAGATATAACCAAGAATAAATGAATAAAACCATCTATTTCATGAGCTGTCAAAACATTTAGGAATTAAAGAATTACAAATGGAATCTCATTTCCTCCATCTTCATTATAAGCCCCAGGCTGTGAAATGTTCTGCAAATGATCGGTGCTTGCTTTTTTTAACCCAGCATCTATCATGTGTTTAAGCATGATAGTGAGATAAGTGGGTGTGATGAATTCTCCACAAGATGCATTAGAGCCAGGAAGCAGCTCGTTTCTTCAGCCCCTTTCTATGTCAGCATAACTCCCTGGCTGCCCAGGGCCACCCTGGGTGAGTATGTGTGTGTGCATGTGAATGTATCTGTGTATGTGTGCATGTGAGTACATGAGAATGCATGTGTTACGTGTATGTGCATGTGAGTATATCTGTGTGTGTGCATGTGAATGTATGTGCATGAGAATGCATGCATGTGAGTATACTGTGTATGTATATTGTGTGTGAGTATATGTGTATTCATGTGAATATATGTGTGCATGTGAATGTGTGTGTGCACGTGAATGTATGTGGATATATGCATGTGCATTTGAATGTGTATATTCGTGTGAGTATGTGCATGTGAATGCATGTGTGTACATGAGAATATATGTGCATGCATGTGAGTGTACATGTGTGTGCATGTGAATGTGTGTGCATGTGTGTGTGAATGTATGTGTGTATATGGGAATATATGTGCATGCATGTGAGTATATGTGTGTGCATAGGAGTATGTGTGTGTGAGCATATGTGTGTGCATGTGAATGTGTGTGCACGTGTGTGTTCATGTGAGTGTGTGCATGTGAATATATGTATGTGAATGTGTGTGCACATGACTGTGTGTGTGCATGTGAATGCATGTGCATGGGAGTATATGTGCCTGCATGTGAGTATGTGTGTGTGCATGTGAGTATATGTGTGTGCATAGGAGTGAGTTTCCTACAGAAACACCATTGTCAGACAGAATTCTTTTCATCCTGTCTCCCGGTGCTAAGCTGCATTTTGGGTGCAATGCTGTGTCCCTTGGGCATCCCAAGCTCGTTTCCAACATACTGCGGGCACCTTCTTGCCTTGTTAAATGGCCGTCCTTGTGTTCTGGTTGGACCAGCACATCACAAGAACCATTACCCAGACAAGAGGATTCTCAACACGTGGAGGAAATAGAAGCCCCCAGATCATGCCCATAGGAGGACCGGGAAGAAGAAGGCTCTATGAGAGGGCTGGAGATATCCCACTGGAGAGAGAACCTAGGGGGGTCATAGTCTGGGGCTGGAACGAATTGGGTCTCTGGATGGAGGTGACTCACTACACCAGACAAAGGTGGGGTGTTCTGGGCGTGGACCCCTGACTCCTCACCGTGGATGACAGCTGAATTAGAAATAAGCTCCTTCCAGGAGCTAATTTAAGGATTTATATGCAAAGGAGGTGCAGCACTAAATATAAAGCGATAGGACTTTAGATGCCACTGAAGTTAAAAGCTGGTTTGTGCACTAGGGAGCCAGCCGGACCTCTGGGAGGAAAGAGGGATGGAGACTGAGTTCCATCACATGGCCAATGATTAAATCAATCATGCCTCTGTAAGGAGATCCCAATAAAACCCCAGACACCAAATCTCGGGGTGAAGGGACTTCTTGGTTGATATGCTGCAAGGTGACGCCTCTTCCTCTCGGGAAAAGGGTTCAGGCATTTCCCTTTGAGACCCTCCCAGCCCACACTCTGTGGCTGAGGCTGTTTGCTTGTCTCTTCCTGGTCTGTGTCCTTTATAATAAAACTGAAATCACTGTCTGACTTATTTCAATTAGCATAATACTCACAAGGTCCATCCAGGTTGTCACTAATGGCATGATTTCATCTTTTTCATGGCTGAGTAGTATTCCACTGCATATGTATAGCACATCTTCTTTATCTGTTCATCTGTTGATGGGCACTTACACAATTTTATAAACCAGTGTGACCTCGTTAAAAAAACAAATTGAATCACACGTATAGTACTTTCTTGAGTTCTGTGAGTGTTTCTCGCAAATCATTGGTCAAACCTGAAGGGCTCATAGGAACCCCGGAATCAATAGTCAGTGGGTCAGAAGTGTGGGGCACCTGGGGACCCCAGAGACATGTGCTGGCATCTTGAGTGAGGCAGTTAAGGAGACCTGAAGCCCTAAACACACAGATGCTTTGCTAATTCCAGGTAGACAGCTTCAGAATCGAGCCACACTACGCCTGGTTGGGGTGGAAACAGGACGCTGGTCATAGCCACTGCCCCAGGAAGACGGGTAAATTCAGTGTTCTTTTCAGTAAAATAGACTCACAGCCCACATGAATTTTGGGAGATGTCTCCTATTTAAAGTAAAAGAATCCTTTTTTAATGGACTTTTTGTTTGATACATCTGAAAAGGACACACAGACAAAGAATTGAGACGTGAGAAAGCGTTGGTTAAACACTAATCCACATACAAGAATTAGCATTTTGGGGAAGGTGGGATAGATTGCCTAAACATTTTTAAAAATTGAAAACTACAACCAAAATAAGCTGATAAAATCCCTATTGACCTTAAGAGGAGTCTTCATAAGGCTCTTGCAAGATACACATGTAACAAATCAACATGTTTTACACCTGAAACTTATACAACGTTCTATGTCCATTTTTTAAAAAAGGTAATTGAATCCTGTGTGGAGAAACACAATCCTACAATGAAATGGCAGGAGATTCCTTGAGACACAGGATCCCCTTCACGACCTCATCCCCACTCCGTGCTCTCCACCCCTTCCCACCCCAAACCCAACACAAGGCATTTCCAGTAATGCTTGTTCGCCTCTCCAGACTCTTTTGCAAACCCTCAAGCTCCTCATAGGAGATCCCAGATGCCTCACGTTCTCCGCGTCAATCCGTACCTTCCCTGTAGGGCAGCAGAATCTTGCTTCCTTGACTAGGGGACCCAGTAACATCAAAGGAAAGCTTTGTCTGAGCTACCCTCAGCTATTTTCCATCCTAGTCATGGTCATTGTTTTCGGAAGGTTGGTACCCAGCATTGATGGGAAATTGGATGCAGAAGAGCTGGTCTTCTTACTGACAATGCCTTAAAATTGCAGCTTCTATGCCGGTCAGCTGGTGCTGTGGTTTAAACACAGCTTTGCTGTTCATCTCTTTCTAACTTTCTTCAGCCTGAGCATAAATGCCCGGGTGCCATTTGTAATGACGATTTCCAATATGCCCCTGTTGAGCACGTTTGCATCCAGCAAGTGTGACCATTGGCTTGCCTCCTGGCCTGGATATGTTCCCCAAAGTCTTGGATTATAGACTTTTAGAGGCACATGAGAAGGTCCAGGGTTGGGTGACTTGAGCGGATTTCCAAAAGTTGATTACAAGAGATAAGCTCCCAAAAGGTTGTTATTGTGATGATAAGAAGTTAAGAGGGAATGCTGTTGATTTCTGGATATTGAGTTGTTGCCACGAAAGCCCTTGGGTTTCCATAATTTCTAATCCCTTGAGCTGCTCCACCTGGCTCTCAGGTGCCCACTGGTTCTTCTATCGCACTGACCACGCCTAGGGCCAACTCCCAACGCAGAAATGCGGCGTGGGGTGTGTTCCAATGTTGCTGCCTTCTGCCAGAGCAAAGCCCCCATCTTTGCAAATCTCTGCATTTCAATCTTCTCTATGAACGTTGCTTTTCCCCTGCACCTGCGATCTTAGCCCGTGCATGCTCCAATGCCCCGTTGCAACTCACCTTGCTGCATCGAAACCAAGAACCTTTCTGCTGTCACGATGTCTCATCTAATTGCTAAATATTGTTTATTAAACGCAGAGGCTGAGCACGCATCTGCCAATTAACGAGCATTTCAGTTTCCTAAAGAGTTGTTGCACTGAAGATTTACATTGGGGATTTTGATGTGCGTCTGCCGAGAGAAATGCATTAGCCCAGCATGGAAATACAACCCACATGGGCATGCATTCCTATCTGCACATGTTGAAAGGAAACCCAACAGCCTCTGAGCTCTGACTCAGCCGGGTTGCCCAGCCCGTCTTTCTGGGTCGAATGTGTAGACCCAGGCGATGAGCCTGTTCTGTCTCAGCCAACAGCGTCTGTGTGACCTCCGAGGATGCTATGCTCTGTTCTGGAAGTTGATGCATCTGACCTTCTTTCTTTCTCCCCACAGAGCCCTGATGAAGGAGCCTGGACCTCCCTCTACGCAGCGGTCAGCCCGGCCCTGGAAGGAGTGGGTGGCCGCTACCTTTACAACGAGAAAGAGACCAAGTCGCTCGCGGTCACGTATGACCTGATGCTTCAGCGACAACTGTGGGCCAGAAGTTGCCAGATGACCGGCATCCCGGACGTGACTGAGGGTGTCTTCTCGGATAGCTGCCACCTCGGGAAGACTTTGTGCCCAGCTCACCACTCGCAGGTCTGTGAAGGATCCCCTGTCTGTATTTTTCACACCCACCTGCCCTCATAGCTCTGTCCCCGACTCTCTTCTCGGCTGCCCTGCCTTGGGAGAAAGTCAAGGAGCAAAAAAAACTTTGAGTGTAATGTGGAGCAAGTGGTCCTCAGCCATAAATCTTGTGATCCCAAAGTGTCAGATTGTTATAGGGTCCACGAATAATTAAATCCTGCCACCCAAGTGTGCGGTCTTTCTTGCTTAGCACAGGCGGACAAACAGCCTTGGGTAGACACGTTCCCGGTGAGAGGAACACTTTCAAGGGAGCATTGCACGGAGGGGCAATGGTGGTGTTGAGAGTCTCCTGGGTCCTTTGTTCTCTCACTCACTCATTCTCGAGACCTGACTTTGAGTCATGGATCCCAGAAAGAGAGAGGCATGACCCTTCCTTGGTCTGTTGATTAAGGCTCATGTGACCACTCTAACTTCTGCCCCACCATCCTGGTCCATGGGCACTACCTGCACCCCTCAGAGCCATTCTCATGAGCTCTTGGCCCACGAGTCATGGAGACACAACCAGACCTGTAAGGGATACTGTAGGACACGGGCAAGAACAGGGGTCTGGACACCACTCCCCATGGGGTTCTGTAGGACAGGGACAGGGGTCTACACACCACTCCCCATGGGGTTCTGTAGGACAGG